TTTGACAGTTAAAATCAGTTAAAAAATAATTTTTACGATTAAAATTAAAGTTTGAAAACAAGAAATTCGACCAGCATGCAGGAGGACAATTTTTTGGTGCACAAAACTGAAAGTTTACTTTTGATCCAATTCGGCAAAAAGACACTGAAGTTGGTGAACAGACTAACTTCATTTCAAGAAGTCTAACCTCCTTGCTTCAATTCCTGTTCTACTGAGAGTTTCAGATGTAAACAAATGGCTGCCTCGTTAGGCTTAGTAGCACTTAAACAGCTTTTAAATTGTTGATAATTCTACATTTGTTGCATGCAAATTAACTAAAATTATAGAAAACCTTAACCAGAACATAAGAAAAACATAATCCAATCACATTTAAAGCAATAAATGCACAATTTACGAACATATAAGAATAACGAAAACTGACAGGTGGTGAACAAAATAATGGAAGCACTCTAGATTTATAAGGAATTCTTTATTAATATGGCCTAGGACCGCCTTTGGCATGTAATACAGCTTGAATTCGCCTGGGAATCGAATTATACAAGTGCTGAATAGAGGAATATTGTACCATTCTTTCAAGGAGATACTGTCAAAGTTCCGGGAGAGATACTGGTGAAAGATATCAATTCCGGATCGAACGCTTTAAAACTGAACATAATGGTTCCATTATATTGAGGGCGGCGGAGTGCGGGCCAAAGTTGATATTTCACTTCATCCTCATATTCATCAAAGAATGACTGGACAAGTCTCGCTGCATGAATAAGATCGTTATCACCCTGGATAATTCCATCCCTTGCAACAAACAAAGTTTGCATCATAGGATGAACCCTGGTCAGCTACAACTTCTTTATACTTTTCTCCATTGATCCTTCCTTGCAGGGTTACGATTGGCCGAGCAGAAAAAGTACGACACGGCTGTCCATGCTTGACAGTTGGAAGGAAACAATTACGATCATACGTCTGTGCAGATGTCCTCCAAACGTGCACCCATCCTTTTGTAGGGAAAAGTGCGAAAGTTGATTCATCTGACCATATAACTGGCTTCCACTTATCAATCGACTAGGTTTTGTGGTTGTGGTATCACTATAGACGACGTTTGGCATTAACGTGTGTGACAAGTGGCTTGGTAATTGCTGCTCTGCCGTGAATATTATGTTTATGAAGATGCTTCTAGCTGTAATTATTGACACTGGAGAATCCAGATGCTGATTGAGCTCTGCAGTCACTTTCTGTTTAAACGTTACAGTCCGCTTCAGTACCCGTCGGTCTCTTTCATTCAGCTTCTCCTTCCGTCCACTACTTTGCTTTGCCATGCTGGTATGGTTGCGCCGTGTGTACGCTTTCATGACTTTAGAAACGCATAGTAGTTCGGATCTTTCAGTCACAGTTGTTCCAGCTAGTCGGGCTGTTACAGTTTGGCCTCTTTGAAACTCTGTGAGGTCTGACAATTTACGCTGCGAAAATTCAGGACGTATACAACTTCACTAAAACTACCTCATACTACTGTGATATGTACTTCTTATATTTAAAAAAAAAAAAAAAAAAAAAAAAAAAACTAGTAGCTAGGATTATATTTTATTGCTTTCTTAAATGTCATTTTTATTCACATGTGTTTCCATTATTTTGATAACCACTGGTATATATTTACATGCTTATAAGTTACTTCTTTCAAGTTTCATTTTTAAATGCTTATAAATTACTTCATTCAACTAAAATTCTACTAACTTTCTCGAAGGAGATAATATTCTCAATAATCCAGTAGTAAATAAATTATAAATATATTTCGCACGGCCGATTGCACCCAAAAAGGGAGGTACACAACTACATGTTATGGCAGTCCCATATACAAAATTTCAATGTTCTGAAATTACTCGTTTTTTAGTTATGCGCGATACGTATACGTACATACCTAGAGACTTCACGAAAAATTCTCATTTGAACCTATTTTAAATCCATTTTACATTTCGTTTGGGGGCGAGAGAGTCCTTTATTCTGGGCTTATATACAGATGTCGTGCGAAAACATCGTTTAAATGAATTCGAGAGCTGTCAAAATGGATGTTTTCTTTCAAATATGAAACCGTAAATTTTTCGCGAGTACAATACTTTCGTTTCTTCGTACAAGAAAGTAAAAAGGTGGATTGAAATGAGTAGCACGATAGTTTTCCCGAAAATGTAAGATCATCGCGAAGTATCTCGGTATGTTAAAAAGAAGAAGAACGATCAGAGCTTGAAAATGTAGTTCAGTTACCTGTGAAGAAAACTGGATGTATTGGGGGGGAAGCATTACAGTGAATTTGATTTTAATTAGGGGAAAATGCTATGTATATTAAAGCGTTTAGTTCAGTATGAAGCAGGAAAATAAAGTTAATGGTTTTCTAATTGACTTATAATTTGATTTTCGTGTGAATACATTGGTACAAAATTGGATTTCTTCGAAATCTCACTACTATCTCTAGTATTTCCAGTCTGATTGATTGATGTGGAAAGCCATTATTTTTATCATTTAATGTACTTAGTTTAAAAAAAAAATTGCTTGAAATACTTTGTTTTGGCATTTTTATTGTGATGTTTTTTAAATCATTTAAATAGTAGCTAAATAGACGTTCAAGCGTGATTACTTCTTTATAAATGCGTTTTCTTCTTTGGCTGTATTTCTTAAAAATTTCCGTTATAGTATTAGCATATAAAATAATGTTCTCTTGAGTGCATTTTTTTTTAGTTCATAGTGGATGCAAATGGTCCAATTTTATATCATTTGTGTGTTATTTTGAAATCCCTTTTATAGTTCTTATACGAATTTGAAGCATTTATGAGCATATACGTAATTAGTAATTGAGAATTCAACTGCCAAATTTATTAAGTATATGCACTGTTATCCAATTAGATTCAGTTTCATTTTAAAATAGCTGAACCTTAAATTACGTGGATTTGAACTGCATGGGGTCCTAATCAATAATTTAAATTTATTCCTTTAGCAGTCAATATTTAGAAAAACTATTCAGAGTTCACAGATACATAAGCAATGTTATAGTCTAATGAATATTTTATTTTAAAAAATTCATTTTTACTCATACTCTTTGTTGATAAGAAAGCTGTTTTTAATTAATAAACACCCAAAAACTTAGAAATAAAAATGAAAATGAGGAAAAACTATATATACAGGTGAAATTCATATGCCTTTTCATTTAGAGGCTTTTCAGTTTTCATTTTCCTTTTTTTATTGTACATACAAAAGTCGTTAATCCGGACTCGTCGGGACTTCGGCGATTCCGGATTATCGATTTTTCCGGATTATAGATAATCAGTTTAAATCTGGTAAGATGGCATGCAGAAATTACAAAATTAAAAATATGAAACCCTAATTTATGAAATAAAGAACAATTATGATCTAAAGGGTATCAAAATTTACAAAAAGAAAAAGCTTAATATTTATTTGTTTACTTTATTAAACATTTCTTTCAATGTAAGTTGTTTAAGTTGCTTCGTTTCATGTGATAATACTTTCTCTTTAATTCTATTAAACAGACATAATTTCTTGTTTAGTTACAAAGTTCCGCTGTTCAAGTCCTATAATTGCTGTGTCAAGAATACTGACTAATTTGTCAATCGAAATTTTTTCGTTTTCAATAACTTCTGTGTCACTTTCTTCACTATCGGAAGCGAATTATAATGACGAGGAACTTGATTTAAATCATATCAAAGACGGAGTACATCGAGATGAAATACTACATTTAGTAAGGAATTATAAGCCAAATAAAATGAAATGCCCTGAAGATAAGGATAGTGCTGACATATCAACTTCAAATCCATTGCGCGTTTCTCCCCCCCCCCCCCGCCTCTTGCCGCAGAGAAGCATGAAATTGATAAACAGATTTCGGATTTCAAAACATACTTTCGCTTTGTAGATCCTTTAAATATTAGTAAATATATATCGGAAATTCTATTTGACATAATCGAAAGTTCAAGCTTACTTTTATAAAATTGTTCTAATAGTCTGCAAAAAATAATAAGCTGGATTCAATTCGAAGATTAAGGAACAACGCAATCTGCAACATTAACTGAATTAGATAATTTTAGCTTAGCTTATACCGCCCGTTATACATTAAACGCGCTTGCGTAAACGTATTATGCGCTTGCGCACACGCATATTCGCAGCCGTAAAGATCTTACGCGGTCGCGTAAACGCCTATGCGCATGCGTCAATGCGCAGAAAGTTTGTAGCTTTGAGGTCCGGATTATGGGTGTCCGAATTAACGACTTTTGACTGTATGATGTATAAAAAGTTCTGATGGAGTATATGCAATCTACAAGTGTATAAAGCCTTGTGTTGTTAGATTTCTTGTAGCTGAAGATCAAAATCAAATTGAAATTTATCAGTTGTTTAATATAGTTATGAAAAAATTACATGAGTTACAGGGTATATGCATGTATATTAGAAGAAGTTATAAGAAAGACATGTGCTTGATGACAAGATGGGGAGAAAGAATTCGCTAACGACGATTTCCTTCAAATCACATTCGATTTCCCTAAAATCGCATTTGGGGCTACCTCAGGCGGCAGCTTCTTACAGAAACAATCATTAAATTATGCAATTTTTATCACAATTTATTTATTCTCGGCACTTGTAGGGAGAAATGTATTTTAGCATATACTTAACTTTTGTTAGATGAAAAACTTTCCTCTTACCTTCTCAGCCTACAAGTTGATAAAACTGTTGAACACTGGTAGTTCAACCCTGTTCATATTCTAGCTGCAAGAATGTTTTCATGGTTTTGTACATGCGTAACGTGAATATGAACTGATTTCCTTTAGAAAATAGTTCACAAAGTTCTCTCTTTCTTTTGACAGACAGTTCTCAAGTGCTGTCTCAAGCTTTCTCCTTCCCATTTTTAAATCTAAATGTTTTTTAACTTAGTTTTAGAAAAGCTTTTGAATTTTAAGATAATTTTTGTAAGAAAAAGTTTTTCTGTAAATGTATTTATAATTCATTTTATTTTCTAGGCCGAGGCTCGCCTTAATGCCAGGAGACAAGCAAGGGCTGAGGCTAGAGAAATCCGTATGCGGGAAATTGAAAAACAGCAAAAAGAGGTTCAAAAATTTTTTTTATTTCATTTATAAACTTGTGCATTATATTTTGTAAAAAAAATCCTTTGAAAATTTCCCCTCTGTATTATTAGTTCTTTTGTAAAATTATGTAAATATTTATTTGTATTTTGTTAAATAGTATTTCTTTTGCGTTTGTTTTGTATGTTGTTTTATTCAATATTTGTTTATATTTCTTTTGTGTTTTTTCAATATTTTTAATTTGTATGTAATAATTATGTATTTATATGTTTAAGTAATTAATTGTGTGTCAATGTGTTAAATTCTTTATTGATAAATCTTTAATTTTATAAATATTTCCAACAGTTCTGTAAATTGTTTTTCTAGGTCATTTGCCCAACTCTCAATTGTCTAAAAACTCAATAGCCAGTTGGGTATGTTTGTCTGATAACTCAGTAGTCCAACAGCTTGCTTTTTTATTCACCACTAGATGGCAGATTATTATACTTCATAGAAATTACTCTAAATTAATATATATGGTTATTTAATTTGTGAACATTTTATTCATACTTTGCATTTTTCACACATTTGTGCCTGTCAGTATCATTTTTTACACTTCCTTTGATTGCTTTTCAAATATACTACTGCTTCCTCTCAAATCTCTCACTGTTAAAGAATTTCTGAATTTCTATTTCAGTGAGGTGGAATCCCCCAAAGATGTGTTATTAGCACTTCTGATCGCTAATTGGATAGGAGTTTGTCTCCCACATTTTTTATGCAGAACCTGAAGAAGGAACATAGAAAATAATGCTTCACTTTATTGGCTGAAATACTAAAGAGAAATGCAAGACATTACACTGTCTCTCATTCGTCTAGTCTCTTACCATCGCTTCTGTTTCATTTTTGGCCATATATTAGGTGGATGTGTTAGGGATTACCATATATATTACTTAAGAAAAATGGCTCACGTGTGCAAACTTGTATCTTCAAAAAGGGGCCATCCTAAGTTAATTGTTGATGGTTATTTGGTCTGCAAAGACACAAGTAGAGCTGATCTGTTTTATTGGTGTTACAAGATGCTCAAAACTCTGAATTGTGCAGGGTATGTAAGTACCATACTTGTAGTAACTGGACAACATTACCTTTGGAACCAAAGAAAATGTAATCATAGAGCTGATAAAAAAGTGTTTCTGTAGGAGTAGATAATATTAAATGAAAGGCCCACCGAACTTGCAGTGTACCAGAACAAATTATTTAAGAGGAAACCAATGCTATCCTGGAATCAACCTGCAATGCTTATTCGCCAAACATCAGATTATAAAAAGGACTCATCATGAAGTTTTGACTCTGCAGCCAACTACTTTGACAAATATTGATATTCCATTTGAATTTAGTACTACTGGTGATGCAAAATTTCTAATGAAGGATTCATATCTTATACTCTTTCACGACTCCTCCACTCAAAAAACACTGCACTGTTGAAACTATTAGATCACACACAGAACATTTAAAATTTTTTCAAGAATTTTCTGTGAACTATGTACTAACCACGTCCTGTTTGAACTGAAGGAAATCAAAGTGCTTCCTCTTGTTTATGCTTTAATGACTAACTTATCAGAGGAGTGTTATGCTCATTTACTTGTATTTCAATATTTTAGTGATTGCTGTTGACCATGACCTTGAATTAAATCCTGATTTCGTTATCAATCAGTGATTCTGGAAAAGCAGCAATTAATTCTTCTAGTCACAAATTCCCAGATGCTGCTAGTAAAGGATGTTTCTTTTATTTAGGACAAGGTGTGTATTTCCATATTCAGTTGTCAGAGCTTGCTAAAAGGTAGCAAAGGTGAAAGTTTTAATATAAAACTTCGAAACATTTCAATTGTTGCTTTCCATCTGGTGATATTCCATCTGCATTTAATACTATAAAGCCTCTTATTTTCAATGAAACAAATAGTAGCACAGTAGTTTGAGGAATGTGGAATATTGAGATGTGAAGAGATGGAAGGATTACTCGGAAGACCTCTTTTACTTCTTCCAGATTTCTGGTCCATAGTCAGTCAAGTAAATCTTGGCATTCCAAGAAACATCTGTGGCATGCTTCAACAAATTCAAGTTGAAGTATGGCACGGATGTTTTGAAACACTTATTGGTAAATTCCATGCTAGTGTTTAGCTTCTTTGGCTCCCACCACAATAAAAGGTCATTTCTTCTAGGTAAAGAATCCTGAGATTAATATCTATTTTAATTCCAGTATTGCAGCAGATACAGAGTCCTGTGCCCCATGAAGTTTGTTGATTGTTTCATCGAACTCCTCCCACATGGAAGTGTTCTCACTAGACATTATAATTGGATTGAACTGCTGTATTTAGGGCATCTGATAATGAACCTCATTATTACTACAACATTATCTAGCATTCTCGAGTAGACCCCGAGTCTTGTGCCCCTTAAAGTTTGTTGCTGCTATTGCACACCTAAAGTTTTCATTATTACTACAACATTATCTAGTATTCTCAAGTAGTTCAAATCATACACAAAACCCTATTTTTTTAAAGTGGGGATCCGGGAAAGTTGCCTGCATCACTAGCTCGTTATTGGAGATAAGCCTAAAACTATCTGACAGCCCTTTCAGTATATCATCAATTAACAATTCTATTTCTTGTAACAACCTCATTCTGTCCTTTATTTCTGTCCTTATAAGCTTTCATCTGATGTGCCATTAATCTTGATAAAATCCCTATTTTGGGAAGAGAAACAGTTTGCTCTGATGATACTTTGTGTGTTACCTTATCAAAAACTTTCAAAATTTCTGTTGCTTGTTTCATAATAATCCAATCTTGATTTTTCATCAAGTATAGCAAGGGAAGAAATTATAGGTTCTGTGTTTTAAAATATATATATCATTCATAGAATTCCACCTTGTAGGTACTTCTTGTTTCAATTTGAGTTTATATTGCTCCTGAATTTCAGTAAGTTTGCTTAAAGTGAATGGACTTTTTTTTTTAAATGCGTCATTATCTATTTAACTATGTCAACAGTTTTATGTGTCAACAACTTAATAGCATGTTGTAAAATCAGGTTTAATGAATGCTCGAATCATGGAAGGTGTGGACACTTTAAAATGATAGTAGCTAATTTCATATTTGAAGCACTGTCAGTGACTGTGGCTGCGATTATCAAATATATACAGTCAAAAGTCGTTAATCCGGACTCGTCGGGACTTCCGCGATTCCGGATTATCGATTTTTCCGGATTATAGATCATCAGTTTAAATCTGGTAAGATGGCATGCAGAAATTATAAAATTAAAAATATGAAACCGTAATTTATGAAATAAAGAACGATTATGATCTAAAGGGTAACAAAATTTACAAAAAAAAGCTTAATATTTATTTGTTTACTTTCTTAAACATTTCTTTCAATGTAAGCTGTTTAAGTTGCTTCGTTTTTTATGTGATAATACATTCTCTTTAATTCTATAAACAGACATAATTTCTTGTTCAGTTACAAAGTTCCGCTGTTCAAGTCCTATAATTGCTGTATCGAGAATACCGACTAATTTGTCAATCGAAATTTTTTCGTTTTCAATAACCTCTGTCACTTTCTTCGCTATCGGAAGCGAATTATAATGACGAGGAATTTGATTTAAATCATATCAAAGACGGAGTACATTGAGATGAAATACTACATTTAGTAAGGAATTATAAGCCAAATAAAATAAAAACATCTGCGCTGAAGATAAGGATAGTGCTGACAGATCAACTTCCAATTCATTGCGCGCCGCGGCGTTAAGATAAACAAACGTTAAAGTTTAGATAAACAAAGGATACGCCTTTATCCGTTTTTTGCAGCAATTCCACTTTTTGTTTAATAGACTTCGAAATATACTTTCGCTTTGTAGATCCTTTACATATTAGTAAATGTATATCAGAAATTCTATTTGACATAATCGAAATTTCAAGCTTACTTTTATAAAATTGCTCTAACAGTCTGCAAAAAATAATAAGCCGAATCCAATTCGAAGATTAAGGAACAACGCAATCTGCAACATTAACTGAATTAGATAATTTTAGCTTAACTTATACCGTCCGTTATGCATTAAACGTGCATTACATGCGCATTTTGCGCACACGCATATTTGCAGCCGTAAAGGTCTTACGCTCATGTGTCAACGCGACGCATGCGCAGAAAGTTTGTAGCTTTGAGGTCCGGATTATAGATCATTCCGGATTATGGGTGTCCGAATTAACGACTTTTGACTGTATCAATTTTCCCACAACAGCATTGATCTAACTGGAAAGCTGTATGGGTGAAGAAACACTGGATCTAGATCCAAATTCAGCATGAGAGTCAAATCATGGATGAAGGTCATCAGCTGAGTTGGATGTTGAAGGAGAAACCAAAGCCAATACTTGAAATTGATGAGAAAGGATTTTCCTAACTTCTGTGGTTTCAACAACAGTTGACGGTAGCCTTGGACGGGAAAATAACCGCCAAAGTTTTCACACATATACACCCCCCCCCAAAAAAAAAATTGAAATAGAAAAATTTATAAAATAGACATTTATTATATTGCTGCATTTTAAAGTATTGTGATTCGTACCTTATATGCAATTATACGTAAGCTCAATATACAAAAAAACATAAAAATAACCATCTTATAAAATATTTTACAGGCTGAAGATCATACAGATAGTCATTATGATGATCATTTGAACACTGAGCCTTCACGACCACCACGTGGTATCAGGCATGATGGAAGAGAAAGAGAGGTATATCTTTTTATTTACTGTATGTATATGTTCATTAAATTTGACTAGAAAATCAATAATTCTACAGTGCAAAATGAAGAATTTAATGTTATCATGAAAATTTGTTAGTAGTCAGAGATTAGTTTGTATTAATTATCTGACATCTTGCTTGAATCTATTCTAAATACAGTTTTAAACAAAATTATTCCCTACTGAGAATATTTAGAAATGAACTGAATTTTATTATGTTTTATGTATGTTGTACTAAAATAAAACAGCAAAACTTCCCTGCCCTTTGTTTTTCAGAGGTATAGGAGATGTGAAAGTTGTAAAAAATAAAAGCAATTTGATCAGCAAACCAAATTCCCTCTCAGCGTGTTATCTGCAACCACAATCCTTTTTATTAAAGCACTTTTTATTATTTAAATGAAAACAGCAAAGCTTGTAAATTAAAACAACAGTCGTGATTTACAGTAAAAATAAAAGAATTATTCAAGTAAATCAGTCCAAGTAATGAATATTAATTTATTAAAGTTGTTATTAAATAAGGTTTTGAGTGATACTAGATACCAAAAATAAAACAAATGATATTTCATAAAAATAATCACAATCAAGACACAGTATATGTATTAGATGTTCTAATCATATATCAGTACTGTACAAAGTCCATAATCCGGACTCGTCTGGACTTCGGCGATTCCGGATTAGGGGTTTTTCTGGATTATAGATCATCAATTTAAATCTGGTAAGATGGCATGCAGAAATTATACAATTCATAATTTATGAAATAAAGAGCAATTATGATCTAAAAGGTATCAAAATTTACAAAAAAAAAAAAAAAAAAAAGCTTAATATTTATTTGTTTACTTTATTAAACATTTCTTTCAATGTAAGTTGTTTAAGATGCTTCCACAAAAAATTCAAAAAGTTCCTTTTTCTTGTGTCATATATACAGTCAAAAGTCGTTAATTCAGACACCCATAATCCGGACCTCAAAGCTTCGACGCATGCGCATATGCGTTTACGCGTGCGCGTAAGACCTTTACGGCTGCGAATATGCGTGTGCACAAGCGCATAATACGTTTACGCAAGCGTGGTTAATGTATAACAGACGGTATAAGCTAAGCTAAAATATCTCATTCAGTTAATGTTGCAGATTGCATTGTTCCTTAATCTTCGAATTGAATCCGGCTTATTATTTTTGCAGACTATTAGAGCAATTTTATAAAAGTAAGCTTGAACTTTCGATTATGTCAAATAGAATTTCCGATATATATTTACTAATATGTAAAGGATCTACAAAGCGAAAATAAGTTTTGAAATTCCGAAATCTGTTTATCAATTTCACGCTGCCCTGCGGGGGGGGGGACGCGCAATGAATTGGAAGTTGATCTGTTAGCACTATCCTTATCTTCAGGGCAGATGTTTTTATTTTATTTGGCTTATAATTCCTTACTAAATGAAGTATTTCATGTCGATGTACTCTGCCTTTAATATGATTTAAATCAAGTTCCTCGTCATTATAATTCGCTTCCGATAGTGAAGAAAGTGACACAGAAGTTATTAAAAACGAAAAAATTTCGATTGGCAAATTAGTCAGTATTTTCGACACAGCAACTATAGGACTTGAACAGCGGAACTTTGTAACTAAACAAGAAATTATGTCTGTTTAATAGAATTAAAGAGAAAGTATTATCACATGAAATGAAGCAACTTAAACAACTTACATTGAAAGAAATGTTTAATAAAGTAAACAAATAAATATTAAGCTTTTTCTTTTTGTAAATTTTGATACCCTTTAGATCATAATTGTTCTTTATTTCATAAATTACGGTTTCATATTTTTAATTTTGTAATTTCTGCATGCTAACTTACCAGATTTAAATTGATGATCTATAATCTGGAAAAATCGATAATCCCGAATCACCAAAGTCCTGATGAGTCCGGATTAACAACTTTTGACTGTAGTGGACTTTCCAATATGGACTTTCCAATTCTCACAAAATTTTTAGACGGATAGGCCTTTATCCATTTTTTGCAGTAATTCCACTTTTTGTTTAATGGACATCAAAACATGCTTTCGCTTTGTAGATCTTTTGGCAGCTCCAGAATTGGAAACTCTTTTTGACATAATCGAAAGTTCAAGCTTAATTTCTATAAAATTGTTCTAACAGTCTGCAAAAAATAATAAGCCAGATCCAATTAGAAGATTAAGGTACAGTGCAATCTGCAACATTAACTGAGATGCCTTCGATAATTTTAGCCTAGCTTATACTGTCTGTTATACATTAAATGCACATGCGTAAGTGCATATGTGCATGCATAAATGCATAATGCGTTTACGGATGCATATAAAGCTTGTAGCTGTGAGGTCCGGATTACAGACTTTGTACTGTATATATATATATATATATATATATATATGTCTATATATATATATAGACATACTTTTATTTCATTCAAATTCTTTACGAATCGCAATGTGTATTTTTTGGTGGATATTGTGTCTTATTTTTAAGTTATTTTTCTGAATTGTTAGTGTCAACTGTTGTTATTGTCAACTTATATTTGAAATAAGAAAAAGTGAATGATGAAAAGTAAATATTATTCATATTATGTAAGGGGAAAACATTAGTGGTAGTGACGGTAAGTGAATTTTATATTAAATGAACTGTGTTATGTTACAATAAATTTGAATAGTCATTGTATTCTTTATTCAGAGAGCTCAATCATATACTTCTGCTGGTTCTTGCGGTAGTTCCCGCAGGAGTAGTGAAGAATTCCCTGAGACTATTGGAAGTAAAGAATATAAGGTATTATGAAGTTATACTGCTGTTGAAACTTCTTAATTCTCTTGTCACTTTAATTTTCATGATGTTTAAACTTTTCAAAAAGTATTCATTTATAAGAAATCTTTTTTTCTTTCTAATTTCAGCTCTTGACAAATCAAGTAATGGAATTAGAAGAAAAATTCCGTAAGGCAATGATTACCACTGCTCAATTAGATAATGAGAAAACTACTTTATCATATCAAGTTGATACACTCAAAGATGAACTCCAAGAGTTAGAAGAGCTGTATTTATTAATTCAGAAAGATTACAAAAATGTTTCTCGAGTAAGTAATAAATGAGAATAGCTTCAAGTTATGTGGATGAATGGATATTAATAAAAAGACATAATGATTTTTATTTATTCATTAATTTTGTATTTCCCATTTCAGTCCCATGACTTGCTAAACAGGGATTTCAAGGATCTCACAAGTCAAAATGACCTTCTAAAAGAATGTATTAGACTCAGGGATGAGCTTATAGCTGTAAGTAACTTGAAATTTTGCAAGCAGTATTATGATTAACAGATGTATACTATTTAACTAGAGCACTTTAATTTGTTTTCGAAGCATATTAACTGTGAGATGTAAGTAGTGTGTATTGTACTGTATTGTATTATTAACTGATTGTATGTAGTGAGTGTAGAACTGAGCAAAGTCTGAGAACTTGTATTTTCAGAGAAAGAAGTCACACAAGAGAAGTACACTGCTATTTTAAAAGCATCGCAGAGTAGTTGAAAGAAAAATGAACTATACCTTAATTTACAAATTGTAATTCAACTTCCTTTTAATAGTTTTTAAATACAGTTAGATCTGTACCATACATTTAGGAAACTTTATTCATCAAAGACTAACTGTTGTGATCTATATTTTATTCTGATAATCATAGTATTGAAATAAATAGAACTTTTAAAATTGTACTATTTATATTTTCTTCAAAAAATTTTAGATGTTCCAACAGTCATTCTATTTATAAGAATAGTTCATGCTAAATATGACCATTATTAGTATTATTTGATCTATTTTAGTGAAGTATAGAAATTATGTTTATGCAAAATGATACAAAAGTTTTGCTATCCAGTATCATTTAATGTGTTTGTTTAAATGTTTTTTTCAATGCAAATGAAGTTAACCAACTTAAAAATAAAATTACAAAGCATATTAATTCTGTTTCTTGTAGTAAACATGCTCATAAATCAATACAGTAAGACCCTGCTTAACGCTGGTCCGTTTAGCGCTGTTTCAATTTAACACATTTTTATTGAAATAGTGAGATTCCCTGAAAATTGCACTAAGCATTGGTCTTCCTTGAAATCAAAAGTAATTTATCTGCATTACTTCTTCTCTGTAGTGTTACACAAACATATTTTTATTATTTCAAACATTTGTTGCTTATTGTAAGTACAGTCAAAAGTCGTTAATCCAGACTCGTCGGGACTTTGGCGATTCCGGATTATGGATTTTTCCAGATTATAGATCATCAGTTTAAATCTGGTAAGATGGCATGCAGAAATTATAAAATTAAAAATTATGAAACTGTAATTTATGAAATAAAGAACAATTATGATCTAAAGGGTATCAAAATTTACAAAAAAAACTTAATATTTATTTGTTTACTTTATTAAACATTTCTTTCAATGTAAGTTGTTTAAGTTGCTTCGTTTTATGTGATAATACTTTATCTTTAATTCTATTAAACAGACATAATTTCTTCTTCAGTTACAAAGTTCCATTGTTGAAGTCCTCTAATTGCTGTGTCGAGAATACCGACTAATTTGTCAATCGAAATTTTTTCGTTTTCAATAACTTCTGTGTCACTTTCTTCACTATCGGAAGCGAATTATAATGACGAGGAACTTGATTTAAATCATATCAAAGACGGAGTACATCGAGATGAAATACTACATTTAGTAAGGAATTATAAGCCAAAAAATGAAATGCCCCTGAAGATAAGGATAGTGCTGACATATCACTTCAAATCCATTGCGCGTTTCTCCCCCCCCCCCCCGCCTCTTGCCGCAGAGAAGCATGAAATTGATAACAGATTTCGGATTTCAAAACATACTTTCGCTTTGTAGATCCTTTAAATATTAGTAAATATATATCGGAAATTCTATTTGACATAATCGAAAGTTCAAGCTTACTTTTTATAAAATTGTTCTAATAGTCTGCAAAAAATAATAAGCTGATTCAATTCGAAGATTAAGGAACAACGCAATCTGCAACATAACTGAATTAGATAATTTTAGCTTAGCTTATACCGCCCGTTATACATTAACGCGCTTGCGTAAACGTATTATGCGCTTGCGCACACGCATATTCGCAGCCGTAAAGATCTTACGCGGTCGCGTAAACGCCTATGCGCATGCGTCAATGCGCAGAAAGTTTGTAGCTTTGAGGTCCGGATTATGGGTGTCCGAATTAACGACTTTTGACTGTATGATTATAAAAGTTCTGATGGAGTATATGCAATCTACAAGTGTATAAAGCCTTGTGTTGTTAGATTTCTTGTAGCTGAAGATCAAAATCAAATTGAAATTTATCAGTTGTTTAATATAGTTATGAAAAATTACATGAGTTACAGGGTATATGCATGTATATTAGAGAAGTTATAAGAAAGACATGTGCTTGATGACAAGATGGGGAGAAAGAATTCGCTAAACGACTTTCCTTCAAATCACATTCGATTTCCCTAAAATCGCATTTGGGGCTACCTCAGGCGGCAGCTTCTTACAGAAACAATCATTAAATTATGCAATTTTATCACAATTTATTTATTCTCGGCACTTGTAGGGAGAAATGTTTTTAGCATATACTTAACTTTTGTTAGATGAAAAACTTTCCTCTTACCTTCTCAGCCTACAAGTGCTGATAAGTGATAAGGATAGTGCTGACAGATCAACTTCCAGTTCATTGCGTGCCGCAATGTTTTCAGCTCCTCCGCAGAGGAGCGTGAAATTGATAAACAGATCTTGGAATGGTTAGAAAAACAAACTTTATCCATTTTTTGCAGCAATTCCACTTTTTGTTTAATGGACTTCGAAACATACTTTCGCTTTGTAGATCCTTTACATATTAGTAAATATTTATCGGAAACTCTATTTGACATAATTGAAAGTTCAAGCTTACTTTTATAAAACTGCTCTAACAGTCTGCAAAAAATAATAAGCCGGATCCAATTCGAAGATTAAGGAACAGCGCAATCTGCAACATTAACTGAATTAGATAATTTTAGCTTAGCTTATACCGTCCATTATACATTAAACGCGCATGCTTAAACGTATTATGCGCATGCGCACAAGCATATTCTCAACCATGAAGGTCTTACGCGCATGCGTCGTTTTTAGCTTCGAGGTCCAGATTATAGGTCATTCCGGATTATGGGTGTCTGAATTAACGACTTTTGACTGTATAAATTTATGTAATGTAATGATTGATGTAGTAATAAATATTATAATTTTTAGTTTTTAAATATGGGTGAAAACACAAAAATAAAGCAACAAGAAAATAAACTAAAAACTAAAATGCAAATACTTAGAAAATTAGATGGTGGTGAATGTCAGTATCAAATTGGTGTTGCATTGAACTTGTCAACCTCAACAATAATGATAACTCCCAATAAAGAAAAAATAGTGTCATCAGCAACTGCAATTACAAAAACCTCTGCAATGAGAATAACCTGTTCTAGAAATAATACGATAGATGAAATGCAAAAATGACTTTCTGTGTCAATTGATGATGAAATAGAACACAATGTGCCATTAAGCCAAGCTATTGTAATGGGAAAAGTGAGAAGAATTTTTAATCACATTCAGATTGAAACAGATGACACAACTGAAACCTTCGTTCATATTCGAGGGTAGCTGAATAGATTTGAACATCGAAATAAACTTCATAACATACAGATTACAGGAGAAGCAGCAAGTGGAGATATAAAAGTGGCAGCTGAATTCCCAGTGGCATTAAGAACAATAATTGAATGAGGAAATTATCTTCCTGGATTAGTTTTTAATGCCAATGAAATGAGACTATTTTGGAAAAGAATGCCAAAACATACATTTCTATCCTGTGAAAAAAAAAAACGTGCACTAGGATTTAAAGCTACGAATGATCACTTAACACTTCTCCTGAGTGCTAACCAATGGAGACTTCAGATTAAAGCCACTTCTTGTTTATCATTCCAAAAACCCAAGAGTGATAAAAAGCATATCAAAATCAACTTTACCTGTAATTTGGGAGTCTAATAAAAAATCAGGGATAACAATGAAAATTTCTCAGAATTGGTTCACTAAACATTTTTGCCTATCTATTAAATGCTATTGCAAAATCAAAAAACTTGAACCAAAAGCCCTACTTTTAATGGATACTCCAAGCCACACAACGAATTCGTCCAGTTTAATAACATGCATTCCACTCGAAGTGGTTTTCTTGCACAACTGAATTAATCCAACCAATGAATCAAGGTGTTGTATCAACTTTTAAAGCTTATTACCTGTGGCAAACATTTAGACAAATGTTTGAAAAAACAAACGGAGATGATAAACAATCAACAAGAGATATTTGGAGGAACTATAATATCATGGATGCTATAGAAAACAAATCTTTCTTGGAATGGGGTAATGGAAAAATGTTTGAGAGGTGTGAGGAAAAGCATTTGGCCAAATTTAAATAAGGACGATGACACTAGAAATTCTGTTATTGATATGAGCGAAATAGTGGAATTAGTGAAACAAACAAGTTTAGGTGAAGTAAATGTGGAAGTTCTCGAAGAAGTTTTGCAAGAAACAGCAGAAAGTCTTTTTAATGATGAGCTCAAGGACTAGGATATCAAGAAGAACACAAAAATATTGAAAATTGCAATTCTGAAGAAGAGCAAAATTAACTTTCAAGGGCATTTCTGAAAACCAGTTTAGCTTCCAAAACAGAAATTATGGACATATATTGAAAATGACGCAGATTTTGATAGTTCAATGACAAGATGGGGTGTCATGGATACCTTGTATCCTTATTGAAAACTTCTTATGGAGTGCAAAAGGAAAATGCAAATGACAGTAAATACCTTCTCGATAAAAAAAACAGAAAATTAGAAATGCAGAAAAATCTGAATGCTCTAAAATATAAATGGTGACTGACAATTTTATTTAATTTTATATATTCATTTATGTTTCAATATTTCTAAGAAATAAGTTTTTATTTTGTATTGTTATAAAAAACATATTTAATGACTTTAAATAACAAAATACTTGAATAAGTTTTTTTTTTTTTTTTTTTTTTAAATTTTATACCCATTTACCTCATTATTTACATGATGAAATGATCTCGTTTAATGCTATTTTGTGTAATGCTCTACTTCAATGGAACCGAGGTTTTACTGCAGTTATAAAAGTCGTTAATCCGGACTCGTTGGGACTTCGGCGATTCCGGATTATCGGTTTTTCCGGATTATAGATCATCAGATTAAATCTGGTAAGATGGCATGCAGAAAT